TTTCTAGTTCGAATTTCCATAGTTTTCGTGTACAATATGTACTGAATTGCCAACATTTTCACAACCACCCTCTGTCTCAGGATTTGTCTAACATTTTTAAAAAGTCATACTCCGCCATTATAATTCATATTCTGCTGGGGGCAGTTATCATGATTGAATTATTTGCGGTGTTCATTTCCTCGAGGGCAACTTTGAGACAGTGATTTAAAAGAGGGCACAATTGTTTCCTGTCGTATTATTCCACAATTCATCATTCCCAATCCTACCACTCAACACAGCAGAACATATCTAGTTAATATAATGGATAACGTCATCACGTGAGCTAATGGACTGCAACGATAATTAGCAAACAATTTACCATCCGCACGGCCCCCAGCTATCTGCTAGCAGTTAACATTAAGAGGTTATTTCGAAAGACACTAACATATAAAAAGGCCGCGCCATAGCTCAAGCGGTTAGTCGCTGGCTTCCCACCGCGGCGGCCCGGGTTCGATCCCGGGTATGGTCAGGTGGGAATTGTGGTGGACAAAGTGGCGCTGGTGTACGTTTTCTCCGAGTACTCCGGTTTCCCCTGCCAATCTTCATTCCACCAGTTGCTCCACAATCACCCTCACCTATCATCTGGGGCTGGTACAATAGGCCAGAAGTGGCCGCAGTACAAGGGACTTAGTCCCACCCCACTAGCAATAAAAAAAACATAAAACCCAAATGAAAGAAAAAAGAAAACAAAATAATGAAGAAACAAGGAAAAATAGAAAACTCCCACCCCACTAGCAATAAAAAAAACATAAAACCCAAATGAAAGAAAAAAGAAAACAAAATAATGAAGAAACAAGGAAAAATAGAAAACTAAGTTAGACTTTCTTGCTCAGCTGTTCTATTCACACGCCATTTGCTGAAGAGATAACATTTATTCGCAATATTTATGTTTATAGTATATGCAAGGTTGTTCTTAATAAAGCACTACGCCATGAAGATGTATGGCGGACTGAAGGTATAGGCTCCACATATAATTATCCCCGGCAATAGGTTTTGTTCAGCCCCCCGATGTCTATAGTTAGAAGCTTTGAAGAGTCCCAAAGTCAGTCTCAACAAGATGGAAAAGAAAACTCTCTTGCCAGAACACGTTGCTGATGATACGTAATTATGTATAATTTGTTAGATCCAGCGAAATGATAATGCAGCGCTTCAGGATATAATTACGTTTGCTTCTTTCGAACAGTGACGTCACTCAACTTTCTCCCCTGACCTTGCGGAGTCCCCGGCCTTCCCTGGCTTCTCTAGATGACATCATCGACCGTGAATTGCGGCACAACAGCGTACCTGCTGTCGCTACGGCCGGTCATATGTTTCACGAAGGATGAGCCAGACGAAAAGCTTGGAATTCCCGCCCGCGGAAGTTTATAAAATCATTGCATGTGCTTTGGTGTAAAGGCCAAGCGTTTTCTAAACCTTAAATACTGTCAAGTCTTACGAACATTGACATTGATTTGATGTTCGTTTTTATGCATTCTTCGCACAAAGTGCGTAAAATTAACGTGTGGCAGGGATATTTACCCGTCCATCTGTTCGCAAATCCGAAACACTGATCCCCTAAAGTATTAGAGTACTATTTTGGCTATTATTACTATTTCGGTACTATTATCATTGCTATTACACGTACTTTAGCCTACTCAGGGAAGTCAAAACAAAAAATAAAAGGTTCCAAAATTATTTTATTAAAGATTGTTGTCTTCTGGGAAGTTACGTAGTGTAGTCCGGTAGATAAGTAGGTACGTTCCTCTGGAACGACGGTAACGATCTAACATTCCACTTGGCTTCAAATTCGAGAAAAGAGTACCTTCACAGTCACCGCTATCAGAACCTCAGATTTACCATGAAACTTCTCTAGGCGTAAGGCACACCACATCTGCTATTCAGTGTGTAAGCTGTCTGTACTTCAATGCATTGACGATCCACAGCAGACTATTGGAACCCAAACAGGCGGACCTCTCAATAGCCAGCTAATGAAGCCAAAAGTTTTAACATTTTGATTAAATTTCTTAATAGGGAACTGCACCTAATGATGCTGGAAGGATGTGATTTCAATATGTACAGATTTTGGCAAATATGTAGCATAGTTGGTTGAGGCACTGTGCTAAAGGCTGGAAAATCGGGGGATCGATTCCCGATGTTATTGGATTCTTCGGTTGATCTAATCCTTCCAGCCACACTATGGCCCTGGAGTCGACTCAACCTTTAACAGAAGTCAGTATCAGTAACATTCCTGGGGTAAAGGGTGGCTGGCCCATAAGGTCGATAACATCACTGCCGTCTGTGAGCTGATTGTCTAGAAAAGGTAGGAGCCTCAAGGTCTCATTGCCTTATGGGCATCCGAGGCCTATTACAGCGGTAGCTTTTTGTAACGATGTCATCTAACATACTGTGAATGAAGTATGGGCTTAAATTTATTTGTTGTCTCGGAACACTCTAGTAAAAGTCCATGGAGGAGAGTGATATTTGAGAACCTAATAGTCACCATGCACTCAAGTTCCCTGCCTTCAATGGAACCAAGAGATTAACTGCAATGTTCGTAAGGGCCCTGTGCAGAACAATATTCTGAGCCAGAAGAACCCAGCGTGGCTCCCTCTTCCCATTACAGTAAGATGCATTTCTGTTTCATCCTACCACCTAGACCTACTTGCAGGTCTGCCTAGAGGCCAGAAGTGTGCATGTGTACCTCTGCTCCCTCCCACAAACCTCACTGTTCTTGATTTAGTGTTTTGCACTGACTGAATTATGAAGCCCCTTGTTATTGTATTTTCTGCAATTTCCTGTCACTTCTTAGGCCCTGATACTCACACCTCACCTCAATTCCAAATTCTCAAGTCTCCTCAGTCTATTTTCTTCCCCTAGGGTGAGAGTCACAAGTTTCTCTTGCATACACCACGGTGGGTAAAATTATAGTTTTGCACATTTTAATTCAGTCTATTTAAAGAGTAGATGGGAGGAGTCAAGAATTACCTGAATGTAATCTGCCCTTAATTTCTTCATATATGTAATTTTCAGTTGTCAACTGTCCTTTCATGGCATCGATTATTTCACGGTACAGCTGGCAATAAAGTTTTCAGTTATTACTGATCATTGAGATTCGTTTCATTTGGATGGAATTTCTGTATTCTTCATCTCAGTGTGAGCAGCTCTCACTTTCTGACCAAACCATTTCAAAGCTGCTGCTCTCCTCTCTTAAGTTCTGAAACACTCTCTCCTTTGAGCCATGTTTACATTTGTATGGCAGCCATGGCGTTACTTCTGCAGATTACATAATCCCATGACTCCCCTTCCTCCAATTGTTCAAAAGGTAAGCCCTCCTTTAGGTAGTGAGAGTTGGAGGGCTGGCAGTCTTGGGCTTGTCAGTGGTCAGGCAAATTAGGTTGCTAAATTCTGTTTGAATGGTCTTTCTGAATTGCATTTGGATACTCATTCAGGCCATTGAGAACAATGGACTTCCATGCTGCAACAAGTAATGCAGCTCTCAGTGTTTAGGAGTGCTGCAACAAGAGTTTCCTCTTGGGTTTATTTTTGTATGTGTTTAGGCTTTCATTGCCCCATTTGTGATTCTATTTGATGTGTTAATGGGGTAACATTCTGAGTGGTAAGTTATGTTTCTTTTCTGGGTTTTCTGCCTGGACCGACCAATGCTGCACAGTACTAGTTGGATTTTTTATTGTTTTCATTGTTATGGTCTATGAATTTTTTGTTATTAAATATTTTGTTGTTATTGAGAACATAATAAGGGAATTGTGGACAAATGCAGCTACTGTCCCAAGTAGTAAGTATGGAAGAGGGGAGGAGCTGCTAACATTTTTGGAACAGGAACTGATGTCACTGCTTTTGGTTTGAATAATTTAGAAATGTTTTTGCTCTACAGCAGTACTCCTGAAAACACTTTCAAATAAGAAGTGAAGTAAAATCTCGCAGAACATCATGATACCCTGAGCAGATATGCATTTCCCCATCCCATTCTCGCTTGTTTGCATGCTCTGCCAGGTCCAAGCAACTGAAGTGCGTTACCATTTTCCATTTGGGCAACATGGTAGCTGAGAACATAACCTTGCTTGGAGTGTCATGCACTCCCTCCTTACCCCTTGAGCTGATGCTATATCATATGTCTTATAATTGCACTCAGGCTCACAAACAGATAGTGTAAGCCACAAGAAACTTGCTAATAAGTCTGTGATAGGCTGGACAGAGGTGACAGAACATGTGTTATCTAATTCTCCTGCCAGTATGTGGCATGCCACTGAGCTACAAAAGTAACATTTTAATTTTACTTTTCAAACTGTTAGGTAGGTTAACATGGTTAACACGAACGCTCTATCACTGATCACTGCTGCAGACATCTTGCATAACACAGCATAACATTGCTGGCTGTCACACCAGCAGTCTCTCTTGATTTTTGGCCCGACAAGGATCTATGACCAAATATCTGTTACAGACATCTTGCCATGGATTGATCCACACTTAAGTAGTCCTCCCATTGCTGTAATAGATTTGAAAAGGCTTGAATTTGGCTGTGGTGCTGAGAGTAAAAAGTCATTTGAATTGAGCAGACTGTCCCCACATAAATTGACAGGGCATTTTCAAGGCACTCAGAATCAAGAAAACATAGTCAGAGAATGCTTCCATAAACAAATTCAGGTCTCAGTTCCAAAATTATTCACCAAACTTAGCTGGAGTTCCTTTAACAGTAGTAATTGGAATTTAATTTTGGCTTGTATGAACTGTTAGCAAATCTGATATGTAACACAGACATAGATCTGTAATTTTTATTTGAAACATATTTTGATATAATTTAATCAAATAAAACAGAAGTAATTTTTACTCCCCTACAATTAGTATCTGCTGCTGGAGTGTATTCAATTTAGGAAGTCTATAACTGATTTCTCTACACAGTCTTCACATAAAAATGCATGGAGCTATACTCCACTCCACCATATAGTTTCATTAAGAAGCACAAGAACAAGTTTACCTTTACTTTTACTGTATTTACATATATAAGAGTCCATTTTTGTTGACAACAGGATGGATCAAGAAAGCTGAACAAATGTCCATAAATCCACTATCTCCTTAAATACTTCTTCATGCCAAACATAGCTTTCAGTTCATGGATACAAAATTCATATGTCATATGAAGAACTACAGTATGTGTATCTTTATTTCTTTACAACTGAGTATCTTGCAGGTCACATAAATTAATCCAGAACCACAAAAGCTTATGTATACATTTTCTCCCATCATAAATATGAACAATGTACATGTGTGTTGCAAATTTGTTGCAGCAAAAATATATACACACTAATTAATACGGTTTAGTGACAGTAATTGGAAAAGTAGGAAAGTAAGTTAACATTTCAAGTAATTTTTATGTAGAATCTACACATAATTAAATTGTTATGCCCACTGTTTTACATGCACAACAGGAACTTGCAGAGGAAGGGGGTACCAACAACCATAAATCAGAATGAGTAATGACAAACTTATCTTCTAAAGTTAATCAATTAAAACCACACAAATTACAGGTTCAAAATGTACTGTGGCTAAAAATCCTACAAATTTAGGGACAGAGAAGTACTTTATACATGTACAGGGGCTGTAAATCTCAAATTACCATCTTCTCTGACAATTTACAGCAATATTTAAAAGTGACACTCCTCAGTTCTCATCAAAGGACATGTCACGATGCAATCATCATTTGTGTACTGATGTTTCCTAACTATAAATGGCACTACTTTAATCAGTTGCATGAAATACTGGGATCCATGGTAATTCTGTAGGATTTGAAGTTCCCACAGCAGTGGTTATGAAGAGTTTTGTCTTCTGGGATGTAACACCATGTAGTCCATTGAAAGTCACCTGAAGTTTTGCAGGAACATTGGTTCACTTTCAATGGACTACATGGTGTTACATCCCAGAAGACAAAACTCTTCAAGATAATCTTCTTTCTAAGCACATCTTCCTGAAATTAAAATAAACACACATGTATTCACAACAAGGAATCTGATAGGAATATCTTCATGAAGCATTATATGGATTACATGAATACAAAAAGGAATCATAAAATCTGTTTAAAAACTAATATAATTAGATAAACACACAAAGTTAACTATGATTTGAAGGTAAAGAAGTGAGAGCATTATACCCTCTTAAGTAGCATACATTTTATTTAATACACTCATGCCAGGAAATGTTTCTTAAAAGTCTGCAGCCTCATTTACATAAAATATTATATCATGATGCACTTTTTGTAAACACTTCAGCATTAGGGAAAAAACTGTATACTGAAGACAGTCTGAATTAGGGTGCATGGAAAAAAAAAGAATGCTGGAAGACCAATTAAAAAAAAGCGAAAGCAGAAGAAAGGTGCAAAGACATTCCATATAGTTTCTCTCATATACAATTCACTTTGCTATGTTACCTTGGAAACAAAATTGTCATTCTGTAGGGCAGTGCTGGTTATTGAATACTGAACAACAATGAAGTATGTCTGACCAGTAAAGCCAGTTCCAACGAAATCAATATTTTGCATCTATGCATTTAATATGTGTATGTGCAGTTATTTTCCTGAAGATATGACCTAAGCAATTTTATCTACCAATATGACCTCCATAAACTACTGAACCATAATCAAAATTGATAGGCATTTTTGAGAAAATTATCCATTTTGTATTCTGCATTCCATCAGATGAGAGACTATTTCTGGGGCTAGAATGTCCATATTCACTGGGACAAATCTATAATTATAGATAATAGATAATAATAGTATCCATTATAATGGATACTATTATTAATCATTAAATATGAACAAAATATGTCTAACCATTTAGGCACTACCAAGGTGCATATCATACATACAGGGAGACTGCATTCCAGAAACCAGTTTTTCATATTTATGTGTAAATCTGTAAAAGTGTAAAGATCACACTTTTTGCAATTACAGTACTTTCTCATATAAACAATGTGTATAGGAAATTAAAAAGGTGGACTGGCCAAAGGAGAATTTAATGGAGATAGAACAAACATTTTGGCTATTCTATGAAGTTGACAAACTTCAGGTCATTGAATTACAGAAGACCAGTAAAATTGAGCAAAATTTCTATGCAAGATATCTGTAAGAATGGGGGAGATAAAGCAGAGAGATAAAATACTTTCTAGAACTCAGACATAAAGGAGTCATGGAATTTAAGTCCTATACTTACATGGATGTTTTTTGTATCTGTACAATAAACTTTTGATAGCTCAACTTCCAAATACTCCAATGACACATTTCCTCTAAATAATGACAAACGATGGTCGCTTAGTCGGTATAGTTCACTTGTGGACTACAGGCCACAGAGTTTGTTTTTTGTTTGTTCATGTTGGCAGACAAGAATTTATATACAGTTAAGTATAAATATGAGAAGGCATGGAAAAGGGTGGGTAGCTGGTGGAAGAAACACAAAAATTTGAGCTTATGTTTCGTCAATCATCTGTTTATTTATTTCTGGTTTGCCTTGGAGACTTGGAAAGACTCTTACATGCTTCTCACTTTGACTTTCCAGCAGAAGTGCGAGATCGCAATGACTTCTTCGTGTTCTGATCCACTTCTGGCAGCTCATCATCTTCTACACTACGTTTATCTGTTTTAGAAGAAAATAAAAATGTACAGCATGCAGTTTACAGCAAGTACAATGTTGTTTCAAGATATAGGGGATGGACAAAAATAAGGAAACACCTCGTGAAATGCATGCCTGAATTGAAGCGTTTATTTTAGCGACGTTTGCAGGTGACGCTGTTGTATCTGCCCAACACCACTATCTGTACAACCTCTACAATACATTGCAAGCTTCATTTGTTGTCGAGACAGTGTTTGGTGTTGTTTTTAGTGCATCATGTCAGAGCTAACAGAATTCAAACACGGTCAAATTGTTGGGGCCCATATGGTGAGAGCTTCCGTAACCAAGGTAGCCAAGGATTTTGGTGTATTGCTAGGCACAGTATCCAAGATTACGACCGCATGCAGGACTGGAAAAACCGCATTCGATAAACACCAGCGTGGACAGAAATGTGTGTTGAGTGATCGATACAGACGAACATTGCATAGGATTGTGACAATAAATAAGAAGACTACGGCTGCAACAGTGACTGCTGAACTGAATGTCACGCTCGCAAACCCTGTCAGCACCAAAACAGTATGAAGGGAACTCCACAAGCAGGGTTTCTAGACGAGCTGCAATTCCAAAGCCACTCATCAGTGATCAAAATTCCACTAAGAGGAGAGTGTGGTGCCAAAGTCATAAAACCTGGACTATGGAGCAATGGAAGGTCAATTGGTCGGATGAGTCCACCTTCACACTGTTTCTGACTTCTGGCCGAGGTTACGTCTAGAGAACACCACCCCAAGCTTACAATCCAGATTGTTTGCTGGCAGGAGTTCAATCATGGTATGGGCAGCTATATTGTGATATTCTGTCGGACCCATCATTACCCTTCAAGGTCACATCACTGCCAATGACTATGTGACCATATTGGGTGACCAGGTCCATCCCATGGTGCAAACTTTGTTCCCCAATGGTGATGTCATTCACGAAGACGACAATGCCCGTGTTCACACAGCTCACATCGTCCATGACTGGTTTTCTGAGCACAAAGATGAAGTGTCATGTCTGCCATGGCCCCCACAATCGCCAGATATCAATATTATTGAGCCTTTGTGGTCTGTTTTGGAGAAAAATCTGCGTGCACGCTATCCACCTCCATCATCATTAACAGAACGTGCCAATGTTTTGCAGGAAGAATGGTACAAGATTCCCTTGCAAATCATACAAGGCCTCTAATTATCCATTCCAAGAGACCGCAAGCAGTTCTTCAAGCCAGAGGTTGTCCTACAGCACATTAGTCACGATAATGTGTTTTTTGTTGGGTGTTTCCATATTTTTGTCCATCCCCTGGACACACTGGAATGCATGCATAAACCACAAATTCAAAACACAGTAGAACGTGACCATAATTAAAGTATGTAACCATCAATCTTTGTGACTTTTCAATCAATTCTATATACTACATGCAAATCTAATGTTAAAACTTCTACAATAATGTGGCTTCTGGTTGGTTCCTTCACAGAAGGACAGAATAAACATATCTTAGAATATTACCCCTCCAAACTTATCAGCAACTTGAGATGACAGTTACCCTTATACAAAGAAACAGAACAAAATTCATCTGTACAATCTATTGCAGAGACAGCATACCTTCTAAAGAAACAAACTCTGAAGATGCATTAATCTTCAAGTTTTGCCTACATCTGCAACTTATATTTCTATTAGAATATTACAGTTAAACACATTCAAAACAACTGGTTATTCTTTGCTGCTAACCATCTGTCCACTTGTCTGTTTTTCAGAACCACCAAAAGCCAGCCATTTTCTAGCAACACAGTATTAAAACCATAAATAGTATTTTGGAATATGCCACACTGACTGTAAGGGAAGCTGATGCAATAAAAAACACTTATATTTAGTAAGGAGGGCAACAGTAATCTATAATATATATCTTTAGTAGTGTTGACAGTAGTAGCCTGTAGTTACTGTTGCTGTTCACTGTTAGAGCAAATACAAGTATGAATTACTTTTCTTGCATGTGGGGACAAAATCCAATCATAGTGGCTGTGTACTCTAAGGCATAACTGCCTTCGCCTGCTTGAACACTGGGGTCATGTGTTCAAATTCCATTCGAGGAATGGATGTCTGTGTGCATTTATTGTATGTTTCTGCTGTTCTGTGTGCAGGTAACAGCCTTGTGACGGGCCAATAAGCATCAAAGGAGTCCTACCAACTGTATATATTGTGATGTGTTGCGCTATACAGGACACACCTCCCCCCGCCAGCGGTGACATAACACCATCGGAGCGCTGTCGTTACTAGGGGAATAGGCGAGTCAACACTCCCTCCCCTTCCCCGCCAGCAGTGACGTGGCCAAGGGATGCCGTGGTTGCTAGGCAGCAGTAAACAACTCCCGACAGCGTTGCTAGCAACACGGTGCCAGACAACAGTGGTGCCTATTACGTGGCTGTTTTCTGTGTTGTCTGGAACGAGGCTAAATAAGGAGCAGCGAAGACTATTCACAGTTAGTTACAGTTCTCAAGTTCTTGAGTTACGAGTTACGAGTCAGCCAGGCAGTCATCCAGCGTTTGCAGTGTAGTATTTGTGATACTGCAGATAGCAGTAATTGTGAGGCTGTAAACTGTGTGATTGTAAGAGCGAATGTGAAATAAAATTCGCTATATCCAGCACGGCGTGAATTTATTTGTCGCGTTATACACCCAAGATACGTGACACTATGATTAAGAAACTGAAAAAGCAGCCAAGGTCCAAAGGACTGTAGAGCCAGAGAGAGAGAGAGAGAAAATGGAAAATAAGAACAAAATTTTTAATTTGTATCAGATTAAAATAAAGTTAGGAAACGCTCAAAAAATCATTTTCTAAATGTAGGCCACTGGCACATGAAATTATAAACATGTCTGCAAATGCTATAAAAACACATTTTCTGTTACTAAAATATGTCCATATAAGCGATATTAAGACCGTCTCTGTGATCTAGTGGTCAGAGTTCCCGGCTACAGATCCAGAGGTCCTGGGTTCGATTCCCGGTGCTACCAGATTTTCTGAGTAGTGGTGGGTCTGGAACGGGGTCCACTCACCCTTGTGAGGATAACTGAGGAGCTATTTCAAGGAAATAGCGGCTCTGGTCTAGAAAACTGAGATTAACAGCTGTGGGGATCTGTTGTGCTGACCATGCAACACCCTCTATTTGCTAAAGTTGGCACTAACTTCGCCAACAAGCAGCGGTAGCTCAGTCAGTATAGTTCGCTTGTGTACTAAAGCCACAGAGTTTTTTTCAATGGCAATATGAATAATCTACCAGAAATGTTATCAAATATACACCAGTAAATTCATAACTTGCTAATGCTCTGAAATATATAGAATGCAAATAATTACTCACGTTCTTCCTTCCTCTTCTTGGAGGCAGACTTCTTCTCTTGTTTTGGTTTACGAGCAACGGGCTGCACTGGTGCCTGCTCCCTCATTCTCTTCAGGTGGAATGTGATGAAATTCCACATAAGCCAGGCCTGAAGCAGGCAAACAGCTGCAAGTGCTGCTATTCTGTTTTGGAAAATAATTTTATAAATCATTTTCAGTTTTTCTACTTAACTTAGTGTTCATCCCACCGACATACTTCGATGGCTGTGACATGTCCATTTACTCAGAAGGTATACTGTACTTTCAAATCTGTCTGTTCATGTGCAGACACATGAACAGCAAATGTACGTACTGACTGTGTACTCAGCAAAAATATCAATCTATGATTACCACAGTTGCTGAATCAGCACAGAGAACACAGGGCTTGATTCTGACTATGGCTGATGTGCGGCAGGAGGCTATGGTGGTCTGAGAAATAATGCTGAATGAAGTGCCTGGCAGACAAACAACCTTAGAGACCCTCCACATATGGATCTTCATGCAGTGTGGTTAACATTACATTACATTCTGTTCAAGTAAGTACGTGGTTGTAATATGTGGTGAATATGAGTACTTGGATTTTGGGCACTGAGAAACTGAAAAAGATAGTGATTTTGGCAGTAAATGATGGAGTCTACAAAGTCACAACTAGGTAATGCAACAGGCAGTGGAGTAATAACTTTCACATCCATGTAAATTAAGTGTATATACAGGCTTATTCACTTCAGAGAAGTCCCGTAATTAATAATTATAAATCATGCAACAATTTACCAAAGAAAGCAAAACTTGGCAACATTAACCTGATGTCTGCCCAGTTAAGGCCAATTCCTAAAGTCTGTGTGGCAGAATAATGCATATGATGAACATCATTGAGTAATCTACACTATTCTAGTGCATAATACTAGAAGTGAAGAAATTATTTTGAGGGGAAAACTCAATTGGAGGAGGGAGAGGAGGCATTGCATAATTAAGTAACTTCACTGGAGCAACAGTTTCCATAGTCTGAAGCATACAACTGAAAAATGTGTATCACAGATTTGTAGATGTGTTTATTATGTGCCACCATACAGACTTCACAAGTTATAAGGCCAATTTATTATTATTTCAGCACATCCAATTTCACTAAGCATAAAAGTTATTTCTTACAGGCAACCTAAATAAATATCATTACCTTCTCTTAAATTATACACTGAAAATATAAGCCAGAATGAGGGGGGTGTGGGTGTGCGTGCATGCATGTGGTGAAAAGCGTATCAAGGGCTTTTCGTGCAAAATAAAATTAAACCCTGTGTAAAATTACATAAAACTGAAAGATTGTCAGCCTGTAAAGGGGACTGAAATTTGGGGTAAAGCTAAAAGTTTACAGGACTGGTGATTCTCTTGCAGATGGTCCCAAATTAGTGATTATAAATCTCGCAATAATTTAGCAATGAAATGAAACTTGACAACACCGATGTGTTGCTTCCAGGGGCTCGTTCCCTGCGAGTAAAGCCACCTGGGTGTGAAGCTGACCAATATACTCCAACTAGTGTGCCAAGGTCAAGAATACAGGGATCTATACATCTGCTCTCCCATATGCCTTCATGGTTTAGTGCTTAAACACAGGGGCAACTTTCCCTTACCACCATGAAATGTATATAAATATTAGTAGCTGATTTAAAACATGAGGTTTTGTTGTATTTCTGTGAACTTGAACCTTGAACTCCATTAGCATGCATCAAACAAAACAAATATAACCTAGAAAAAGTAAATTTAAAACTGCGTAAAATAAACAAGAAATCTAAACTACCAAGCTTCAACGTTTCCAGTGGAAGCTATTGCCCCTTTTAATAAGTTTCATACATTCCTTACAAAATGAGCATTCACACAGCTGCCCCAGTATTCTCAAATGCTGCGCATAACTGGTATCAATTTTACTGCAATTACGGTTTTTTTTTCAAATCACACAGTTACTGTGTATTCTTGCCAAATGCAATCATAAACACAATGCATCACTACTGCTTCATTGCAATGCCAGGTGGTCTATAATAACACTTTGGGGACCGGTGGCATATTATTATGATTTTGGGACACGTTATGTTGAAACACACTATACCTTGCAATGGCGCCAGGCAGACACATGACTGGTGCATGATAGACCTCTTGAATGTTTGCTTCATAGTCAGTAACATGACCCCGCTGTTTTCCTTTCCCACTCCAAAAGTAAATGCCTTTGTTCATCTTTCAGCTGCATGCACCAGGCAGGAAGTTACTAGTGCAAAATGGATCAAGGTCGGAAGAGGATGAGGTCCAAGCGTTTTCTCGGAGAACAAGAAATATCTTACTTGTTTTCCGATGAGCTATCTGATGTCCCTTGTGAGTCTGCTAGTTACAGCGGCACACAATCTGATAGTGAGTGTGGCAGGGGGGAACAAAAAATTGTGGTCACAGACAGTGAAAGTGAAAGTGAAAGTGACAGTAGCAACATTGCAGGAACAGCCACATGGGGAAAAGTAGACAAAACGCCTGCTTTGGGACAGTTTACTGGAAATCCAGGGGTGAAGCAAATTCCATCGGACCCAAATCCACAATTCACAATTTGAGCATGGTTGATGTTCAAAGGAGACATGGAGAGGTAAAGAAGCCTGTTTGTATTTCCGAGTATAATAAGTTCATAAGGGAGTTGATAGAGCCGATCAGTACTTGGCCTATTATTCTCTTCCTCGGAAAACAGTAAAGTGGACAAAGAAAGTTGCCTTGTGGCTTATAAATTGTGCCATTTTCAATTCATTTTTGGTTTTCAAAAATCTAAACCTGCATTCAAAATTGAAATACAAGGCATTTCTGCTGAATGTGGCAAAAGCCTGGGCTACAGACCAGATGGTGGCGGCAGACACAGACTTAGTTTGACCGGGTCCATCAACTCCCACCCCACGCAGGCCTCATGTGGACCCCCCTGGGCAACTCTTGAGTGATATGCGGAAAAATACCCTCGTGAAAATTGTGAAGAGTGAACATGCCAAGGGGAAGCAGCCTTCTAGGTGATGCTGTGTTTGCGCAGTACGCAACAAAAGGAGTATGACTGTCTACGTGTGAAAGTTCTGTGTAATGCCACTTCACAAAAGGGAATGTTTCCAGAAATAGCACACTCTCAAGCACTTCTAGGAGCATTGGTAAGTGTTCTCCAAAAATTTTAGTTCATAAAATTAATTATGAGATTTTATATTAATTTTTAAAGTGAATAGTGCACAAGTTAGGGTAGTAGGTTTAAAAATGCCAGTCCCCAGGGTGATGTAAATATTTAAATTGCCGGTCCGCGAAGTGTTAACATCTCATCCCAGCAGTTGAACTGAAATGCTGAACTATGCCAATACTAGGAGGTTGTCTTTGGACATGAAAATGAATCAGTTCTGCCTGGATCTTTCCAAAGAATATCACTGTGGCAATAATGATTAATACTGTTGTGTGCATATGAAGAGTGATTGAAGCCTAAAAAGATTCTCATGATGCCTGTTACCAATTACATAGTTTAATTAAACCATTATTAATCCACATACCTAATGATCTGAGTGTTGAAATTGCCACTTTCAATGTCCAGACCCTGCCTATCACTCAGAGACAAACCATACCAGAACGTAAGGACGGACAGAATGATAGAACCCAGGCGAACCAGCACAAAAACTGCATTTGCTACAAGGTATCCAGCTAAAACAAGAGGCATATCAATAGTTAGTTACACCAGATTATAATGAATTCATAACATTAACAAATTCCAGTATTACATATGGCACTTTTAATTCTTATTCAGCAACTTCAAAAACCTTCAAAACCAGTACCTTTACTGCCATTTTCACTCTTGTCAAGGAAATAGATGAGCCTTGTAGCATGGAACAGAGCTTCTGATGTGTAATGCAGAGCCAGAAGGCAGATACCAACACGGGAGAAGCTAAAAACATAAAAGCAAGCACTGTTGTGAAATAGTTCTCTGAAACAGTGGTACCCAAAATCTTTCAGTCTGATCTCCTTTGATGTGAATAAATACTGTGACATGGATGGCACAATGCTCAGTAAACACCCCCCCCCTCCAGCAGTGACATAACATCATTGGAGCAACTGCCATTGCTACAGTAACAAGCCACTCAACACTCCGTCGCCCTCCCCCACGGTTACTACGCAGCAATAAACAACTCTTGGCAGTGTTCCGCAGCAATGCCTGTAAACACCGCGTTTATGCAACAGTGAAGTGACGCGGGTTTTCCGCTGTCTGACTGAGGGTTTATCAGAGTTACTAGAGAGAGAGTAACCAGTCAGTTTCAATCTAGCAGTCGCCGAGTTGGGTTGTATCGAGTGCATGGTAGTGACTACAGCAGGAGAAGTACATGTGATACTGCAGATGGCAGTAGTGGTGTAACTGTAAATTGTATAAGTGTACAAGCGAATGTGGAATAAATTCGCTAGATCCAGAATGGCATGAAGTTATTCATCGCGTGACATATACCCAACACGTGACAATATGTTTTGAGGGCCTCTGTAATGATTTAAAATATAATTTAGAAATTATTTGTTTCTGACATACTCTACCATTTAATTCAGCATTATTTATATCACTTTACTGTTTATTTGGGATCAAAATGAATTACCCACTTTGATATCAGCCCTGTACATATACTCAGGATGATTCAAACTCCTAAGGTCAAAATTTAAGAGGATGCCGAGATAATTGCATAAGATTTAACAGACACTTATGTTTTTCAGCACTGATTATTGGCCATGTCCATGTAATGCGACCATCATAACATCATAAGATGGAGCTACTTATGGCTTATACTACATCTGACAGCAAAGCAGTGAAAAGGTAAGTAAAGGTAAAGTTGTCCCCGTGCTTAACTAATTAAGAACTATGCCCTGAAGGTGTATGGGGAAGTGGATGCATAGATACACGTTTTCTTGACCTTGCCACTAGCTGGAGGTGAGTGGTGAGCTTCACGCCCCTGACGCTTTACCCCCGGTACACATTGGATAGGATTCTGGGTGGGCCACAGAAATGGTCTAGACAATGTGGAGAAGAGAAAGTTACTGACTCCATCAAGACTTGAACTCCAATCCCTTGGTCGTCCAGCCTGTAGCCAGTTACTATACCGACTACGCTATCCTGGCTCTTACATGATCTATTAATGTGGAGTGTGATGACATGCATTTTGTTTACAGATTTTTTTATGGAAAAGCCAGAGGTGCATTGAGGGAATACTAGCATTGGTATCCAGATTGCAGACAATTGTACAGGGTGGGCCAGACTCAATTAGGCAGTTTTTGATCATTAATAACTAACCAATCCAACAACACACGGGATAATGGGAAAGTACCTTTTGTTGTCGATAGATGGCAGCATCATACGGTATGCTGTGAACGAGGTCAATACTCTGCCTACTTAGTTCGCATCGAGGAAACATCATGGCCGGCAGACGGTTGTCTATCAAACAACATGTAAAATGTGTGTGCCTTTTCTCAGTTACTAACAATGTATCAGAAGTCCAGCGCAGGATGTTGGAAGAGTTTGGACCGCCAGCAGTCCACAGGGACACAGTCATCTGAATAAACAAGCAGTTTGATGAAACTGCCAGTGCTCTGAATCCCAAGCATCCTGGTCAGCCGAGAACTGTCCGAACTGCTGACACACAAGCACGTGTTGCTGTGGAACTGGCATCATCTCCTTAGAAATCAAAGTCTACCCGCCGTTTGTCGGCCCTACTGGACATTTCGAGGACAAGTTTGCGGAGAGTTTTGAGTGACATGAAGCTGACACCATACAATCCACGGCTTATTCATGTTCTTAACGAGGATGACTTCGACAGGCGACTTGAGGTCGCCGAGTTGATGCTGACCAAATTTCAGGAGAACCCTGACCTTATCCGGAATATTGTCTGGACTGATGAGGCCAAATTTCACACATCAGGATCGGTCACCAGACACAACTGCGTGTTTTGGCGGGCAGAGAACCCCAGTGCCACCACTGAATACGATTTACAGTCCCTGGGAGTGATGGTGTGGGGCGGCATGACGTACGAAGGACTGATTGGCCCGTTCTTCCTTGAAGGTTGCGTCACGGGGGAAACCTACCTAAAGTTGCTGAGGGAAAGTGTCATCCCAGAACTTCAGAGGAGAGAGAACTTTGATGAATTGTGGTGGCAGCAAGATGGGGCCCCACCACACTTTGCCAATATTGTTCGGGCGTTCTTGCATCAAGTTTTTCCTCCACGCTGGATTGGCCATTGAGGGCCTGTGGAGTGGCCAGCCAGATCACCCGACATCACCCCACCAGACTTTTTCCTTTGGGGCTACCTCAAAGACAAGGTGTACGCTAATCCCACTGACAGTGTGAAACATCTGTGTGAGGTGATTGTTCAGGAGTTCAATAAAGTTCCAGTGAATATGTGTAGAAAGGCGTGTGAAAATGTTGCTTTGCGTCTGCAAGCCTGTGTTGACTTAGGTGGTGCCCAGGTTGACCAGCATCTTGAAAATCGATGACTTATGTGTGTGCGATTCCATTTTTGTAACCATTGCAATTGTTAACATTTATCAATAAAAACATCTAATCAAAAACTGCCTTATTGAGTCTGGCCCACTCTGTAGATGCGTCTACAGCAGTATTTTACAGTCTGAGGGAAATGGGCATCCATGCCACTACACCATGTTGGTTCTGGCAGATACAATATACAGAATAAAGAGAACTCTTACATGCTGCGTACGTTAATCCATACACAGCTTTGTCAGGTCACATATGAAACAGGCTTCTCTCAGAGTGAAGTTTGGCATAAACTATATGAGCAACAGCTGTGGCCTTCTCATTATATTATCTTTTGCAGAAAAAAATATTTTTATGAACCACAACCATTATATTAGCCCAAATCTTAATGTTGTTATAGAGCATAAAATTCAAATGTAGCCACTACTCTGAGTAGATGAAAGGCAGGGGCACACCAAGGAAACTGGCAAATGCAACGCAACCGCAATTTCCACGATTTGTTATCAGCCTGAGTTGAATACAGGTTACTGAATGGAGCAGTGCAAATTGATGAAACAGCAACGCAACTTGTGGAAAGACTGAGAAACTCAACTTTCAGGCAACGGAGCATGCCAGTCTTCTCACAACTGCATTGCCGCGTGGTTTCTTAGTGTCAGCTGTTCTATAACACACTTCAATGATTCGTTTGTTTCTTAAGATGGCACGAAAGGCTGACGAAGCTGCTAATTTTGGTTTTGTTCGGTTAACTGAGCAAGAGCCTGGTATATATGACAAACTCCACCCATACTATGCTAGTCAGGACAAAACAGATTTGGCTTGGGAAAGAATTTCTCATGGGACGAAGGAGTATCAATCCTGACTGAGTTCTTTCAAAACAATATAAGCACCTCAGTTTAAAGTGTCACAGAAGAAGGGATGCATGCAATGTTTTTTTTCCCTAATATTGTATTTAAGCATTCTGTGGCATTAACATGTCATTACTTCACATATATTTCCATCTGAAATAAAAGTTATAATATAGTCACCCATCTTCCACATTACATGGTTCAGCTGAATATGGCCATCTTAGCATCTTCTACCTTGCTAAAATTGTTGCGCTGTATGCCAAAATTTCATATTGCATGTGAACGAGATATTTCCTAATTAAAATAAATTGACCTTAATTAAAAAAAATTAATTTAACATCCCAATATTTTCCTTAATGTCATCCTCTCTTCTCACACCATTTCAACCGGTCTCAAGTACCACCATATTATGACAGGATCAGTATTATTATGTTCCATTGCAGAAGGCATGTGCACAAAATTAAAAAATACAACCATGCATTAGGTCGGACGAACATACCCACTTACACCCACTTAAGATGACGTGAGCAACTAATCAAACCTAAGTTTCCTCAGTGTGCACCTGCTAGTCTGGAAACCAGTTGCCTCCTTGAAATCGGCAAGATTTCTCAGAAATTGTAGTTGCATTGTGGTTGCCAGTTTTCTCGTGTGCCCTTGCACAAAAACACATAACCCTCACTAATCAGTCTGACCCATACAACACTTTCAAACTGTCCTGCCTGTCAGCCAGCAATTATAACATTACATAAGTTAATACAGCCCAAAATCCAATCTTACATGCTGCTACTGTTATTTTGTACTCAAGAGAAACTATTTCACTTTCAACTTTGGTAATGAAACAACTTTACAACTCATAACTGTTCTGAATTTGGGTTGTATTTACAGTTACTAACCCCAGCACAACTACTGTTAATATAAATAAGCAGCTTTAATGTGTCATTGAATTTATTTATGGTTATTGCCCCAAACAGAAAAAATCCCATTTACCTGAGATGACTGGTCACAACACTGTAACATTATAATGTGTCTTCACAGCCAACACAACAAATTTCATGATAATTCTAATATTCTGTACTATACTTACTTCAGGAGATAAGCACCAAGGATATACACCAGTCCAAGAGTTGCATACGTTATGCGAGCTGGCATCTCTTCACGCTTTGTCTTCTGAAAGTACAGTTCCGGGTAACAGTGTAGCCAATATGACAGCTGAACAATAAAAAAGAACTTAAACATGAATACCATCTCATTATGAGGATAACCTTCCCATAAAGATGAGATATTCAAGACATAGTTCTCCCTGAAAGAAAATAACATAATTATTAAATGCACTCAAAATTTCTATATCACTGGGAAAGCACTTCTACGTCTGCACCTAAGGCATACCTGAATATTACATCTCCACTCCAGAGAACTGACATCAGATAAAATACAAGAAGTTGACCAGACTCATTGAACTTGCTATGCTTCGCCTTTGATAGATGCAGCTTACGGCTGATTTTCTGTGAATTTCAATATAAGAATAATTTTAGGAGTCACATTTTGGTAAGAAGGGAAATCTTTAACATTATCTCTTCAGACATAATCTAACTAAACTTACATCGAGAACATATTCTTGAATGATGGCATGCATCACAATGCAGATGAGGAAATAAAAGAATACAGCACAAACATCCTTCCAACCATAGGTGTAGCGTATTATTTCAGGTGCCTCACTTATTGCACTATTCTGTTCCCTAGTTACATTGTGATGAACAGCAATAAACATGTATGCAAAAGGTGATGTTACCTAAAACAAGAATACACAGAATATTAAATTTAAGATAAAACTCAAACAAGTCATCCACAGACTGTGGTGAAAAAAATATGGGGAAAAGACAAAGGATGACAGACGGTCATTCAGAGCACTGTACTCATCACCATTTATTTTTTTAATAAATGAATTACATCCTCATAATCTAATACAACGTAAAATAAGAAAGAGACTGTAAGTGCAAGATTTACAAAAAAGTACACAACACAATCTAATTTAAGATAAAACTCAAACAAGTCATCCACAGACTGTGGTGAAAAAAATATGGGGAAAAGACAAAGGATGACAGACGGTCATTCAGAGCACTGTACTCATCACCATTTATTTTTTTAATAAATGAATTACATCCTCATAATCTAATACAACGTAAAATAAGAAAGAGACTGTAAGTGCAAGATTTACAAAAAAGTACACAACACAATCTAATTTAACTTATGTGGAATGTGATACATGGAGTGAAAATTTACTTTTCCTGTCGCACGAGTGGTAACTACACTGATATACAAGGTGAGGGGGATAATTTGGAGCACAAAATGTAAATAAATCACAGTTTGATCATTGCTCTTGTTGAGTTACATTTTACCACCTTCATGAAAATGAAATAACTGTCCATTAACATACACATTTGGTTAGTTATATCTGATCTCTTTATTTATTGTATTTAATTGCAATGATTCTGATGATTCTCTTTAAGTTTTAAGTTTACTTCACATTTAACACAAGGTTCCAATAATGTAGTGACTGTCCAACTATACACTTTATGTAAAAGTGAAGAGAGGCATCACCATGCTGAAACCACTTGCCCTTGCAAACATAGGCCTCCAAAAGGCCAATTATTCCTTCAGAGGAACTGAGTATAATGGGGTTCACAAAGCTAATTCACCATTTCACATGACAGAGTAGGGAAATGTCTACAATTCTGACCAAAAAGTTGACACTAAATCTTTGCTGAAATGAATGTCAAGCAGTTCCAAGGATACTCCACTACACTTCCATGCTGTGAAGATTATTTACTCCACACTTTGTGAGACCACAATACATAGCACAAGAAGTCACATTCATCTAAAAACTTGCGTAAAAACCACTGACATAAATGGACAAAGATTACTGCTCCCTGGCTACAGCTCTTGTAGGAGATGTACATGAAAAATTTACAACTGCTCACTGCACCTGCCATGGCTAACATATGCTGATGGCAAGAATGCACCGCTTTCCTTCAGACTGTGGTGTACCACTGCAAACATGTCTGCGGAGTTGCCTCTGATGCTGTTCTTTCCTTGATTGTGAATCGGACAATTCTTTGCATATATATTCCACTCCAAATGATAATCCCAACAGCATCCAAAAGACTGGGTATAGGACCTTGAACATTCTTAAATATACTGAATGCAAAAGGAACGTTGCTATGCATGTACATTTACCTCTGTTTTAAGACAGCAGACATTTTATACAGTCACCAAACGATCGATTCAATAACATACACAGAAACACAAATTTAAATTTAAACTATATACAATAGCACTGCTAGGAGCTGGTACAACGTAGTTGGTATGGTGACTGGCTATGGGCTGGATGACTCCTGGGGGTCAGTGTTCAAGTCCCAGTAGGATCAAGAATTTTCTCTTCACCATGTCCAGGCTGGCTCTGAGGCCCACCCAGCCTCCTACATAATGGGTACCGAAGGGTCGTTTCCCCGGCGGTAAAGAGAAAGGAGCCTGAAACTAATCACTCACCTCCAACTATCAGCAAGATAAAAAAATGTGGATCTATACACCCCCCATATGCCTTCATGGTGCTTAATTAAATAAGCACAGGGCAACTTTACCTTTACGATAGCACTGTTACATGAGCGATGTGAAACCAAACATTTGGAGAAGACAAATAAAAACCTACAATATTTTCAATCAATTTCCCAGTTGCTCATTCATACAGGGACACTCAGAATACATATTGCAATAGTGGCTGTTCTTGGTGTAGCCTTACCTGGACCATAAGTCCAAGCACAAATACCATGGCAATACATGATACAATATCTGCATGGTTCTGAATAACAAATTCGTGACTTAAAATTGGTGGATTTTTGCTGGAAGATTTCCTGCCTTTTAATGCCATGTTCGTGAATAAATCACCAGACACCCAGCAACCAGAAGCACACGTTTTATCTAATTCAGGCCAACACGACAAACTACATACGCCAGATACCAAGGCTACTAGCACAACACGAGCCCAATCGCGACCAATTACTACAAATACGTACGAACTAACAATTACAGCTAACGTCACCTTCCAATACCGGAAGAACAATGCCAACGTAATGCCAATGTTGGCATGAATATGAGTCATGATAAGTGCATAATTCTTATAACTTTTAAATAATGTACCTTTGAAAAGTCATGTATATCATCAGGAAGACTGTGCAATTAAAATAATTTGTAGGTCTATTAAACTTGAGATTGACGACAATAGAATTCTTGGTTTGATGGAAGTAATCTTAGCCGTTCCATGAAGCAGTTTTTGGGAGTAAGGTATAAGTAGTGATAGTTTTGTATTTAAATGAGGAACAGTATATACAAGTTAAAAACCAAAATGTCTTGTGCGAGGTATACTTCAGCATAGTTTGTGGGATGTAACATAGTTATATAAATCGGGAGATATCTATCAGAAACCATCTTTCAAATATTCACGAACGGTGATAGATTTCGTGACCTTGGAATTGTGGAGTATAGATGGCGCTAGTGTAGCGAAAAGGACGCTGTGTGGTTGTGGAAGTGTGATTATTGTTAATCTAAGAATAAGGCAAGAATACGTAAGTATATATCCTTATTCGTCGTAATTTCGTAATCATTGATGTTTTTTCAGGGTGCATCGGCGAAGTACGTTGCATTAATGTGTAATGTGCTAGTTTGAGTGTTGTAATGTTACGGAACCTTACAACGGATACGCCTAACCCGCAACTTGTTACGCAAATATTGTATTAGGTGTGTTTCTAAGAACTACTGTTGAATTGGGCCGTCGAAAGCAATACTGGCCAAACTACGTGCTTTATTTCGATGAAGTAGTTCGTGATATGTAGATGGACGCACGGACTGATAATTATAGATGCATCTCACAGTTTCTAGTAAGCAAGGTGTAACGAAAGTCTAGTACAATATATCATCAAAAAAATGCCCAGAAATACAAACATTTATGTGGCAGAAAATATGCTGTAGACAAAATCACGTGTATAATTACGTTAATAATAATGAAAAGTGACAAAAATTCCGCTATGGTATAGGAAAAAATTAGTATATGAGAGCAATCGTTTCAATGTTTTGTCAGTGGCTGCAATCAGATAGTTGATGAGGCAGATTAGGTTCAAGGGTACGTTTATTTTAAACCAATATATGCCTTATAGGCCTACAGAGTGGTGTATAAAAGCATGGGGCAAAATGGTGACCTGTTGCCTTGCCAGTTCCTCTTGGACAAGGACAGTCATGTGCAGGGATGTTGTCGTGTAGCAACAGCCAGTTGAGTCGCATACATAGATAAGGATCTCTGTGTACCTGTCCTTGTTAAAGTTGCTCCCCTGTGGGATAAATTACATGTGAACAATTCCCGACGAGTCAGAAAACAGTTCAAGCATCACCTTGCCTTTTGACCTGTCCTGTCATGGTTTCTTCTTTCTTGGTGATGATGGTGATTTCCAGGTGGCCGATTGTTGCTTCAGTTGCGGATCGTAAAGAAAACACTATGTTTCATCTCCTGTAATCTGGTTGAGAAACGTCTCATCTTCATTAGCACTACTGATCAGATCACCACAAATTGGTCGTGCGTCAGGATGTGTGGAACACAGTGTTCGGTAACACTCGACATGTTCAGGTCATCAGTGAGAATTTTGTGGCATGTACCAGTGTTGCAACTTCTTTGATCTTGCATTCAATTCTGACCACTTTTGGCTGACCACTACACTCATCATCCTCCAAATTGTCTCCCCCCTGCTCAAAACATTGGTGCCAGTTAAACAGCACTGTGGCTCAAAGCTTCTTTGCCGTATCCTTGCTTCATCATGTTAAACATTTTGCTAGGGGATTTACCTTGCTTTTGGCAGAACTTGATGTTTGCCCGTTGTTCAAACTGCCACATTTTCAGTTTCTGCCACTCGAATTTAACTGCAGTTCAAAATAGAGGCTGTAGTTCTGTTTACACTGTTTGCACACAACTGCCTCTTGCTGTGATGAGTAGGGCCCGGATTTTTATGACCTAAAAACTATAAATATATGCATGCACTTATGACCCAAAATTATGTCAAATATGACCTAAAAAGTGTAAAATATGACCTTACATATTAAATGGGACATAAAATTTCACAATTTTAATTACAACTTTTACTAGAGTTTAAGAATAAAGATAATGAATATATGATAGTAGGTCCTACTTACCAAATTAGCCCTATTATGTCTCTGAAGGAAAGAAAACTGTTGGAATTTCGACATTTCATACTGGATTAAACCATTCATTGTTTTCTTTTTAATACTGATATTTGCGTTCATATTTTAGACAAACACTGGTGCACATGATATGAACACTAACTTAACTCCTTTATCTGAAAACACCATTTAAAAGAACACAAGCTATTCACGCCTCAATTTTCACTGTTACAATTGCAATTTATAACTACATGCATTTTCAAATTTTCAAATTTGAAAGATCGCCGATTATCACTAAGGATAGTTTTGTATTTGGAAAAACTTCGTTCCACATCACATGATGTGACAGGAGCATATTTGAAGAATGTCAAGTCGTTTGGTGACAGTTCTGTATCATCTTCGAATGTTGCTAGTTTACCGGAAAGTATATCTGCAATCTTGCATAATGTTGAATAACCAGCATTCCGATGAAGAACACTTTCTATTTTGGTTTTAATCCTGTCACTTATTTCACTACGAGTTCGGTTTAGTTCATTCTCAATGCTCTTTACAGTGTCCAACGCGTCACAGAGTTCAGTCCCTACACACTCCAGGCGAGTTATTGCACCTGAAATTGAACAGAAGTTTGACTTTATGTATGCCAGATTTTGTGATAAGTCCTTGACAGCTTTAATTGAGGTTGACTCACTGCTGTCAAAGCCATTAAACATTTTATCAATGGCTGTGTAATTTTCACAATAATATGCCACAGCATCCAACCATGTACCCCACCATGTGACGACAGGCTGTAGAGGAAGTGGCAGTAGAGGAGCTTCTTGTTTAAATTTCTGCACTCGAAGAGGGGCATTGATGAATAT